CTGATGGGAGGAGCTGGAGGCAGAAAAATGACAGGAATCTCGTTATGTATTTTATTTAATCATATATATATATATATATGTGTGTGTGTGCGTGTCTGTGTGTATCTGTATGTCTGTCTGTCTGTTTCTGTGTCTGTCCGTCTGCCGGTCGTTCGTCTGTCGTTCGCCCGTCGTTCGTCTGTCCGTCCGTCTGTCCGTCTCTCTGTCTGTCCCTCTCTCTCTGTCCGTCCGTCTCTCTCTGTCTGTCTGTCTCTCTCTCTGTCTGACTCTGACTCTGACTCTCTCTCTCTCTCTCTGTCTGTCTGTCTGTCCGTCCGTCCGTCCGTCTGTCTGTCTGTCTCTGCCTGTCTCTCTCCCTCTCTCTCTGCCTGTCTGTCTCTCTCTCTGCCTGTCTGTCTCTCTCTGCCTGTCTGTCTCTCTCTGCCTGTCTGTCTGTCTCTGCCTGTCTGTCTCTCTCTGCCTGCCTGCCTGCCTGCCTGCCTGCCTGCCTGGCTGGCTGGCTGGCTGGCTGGCTGGCTGGCTGTCTCTATCTATCTATTTATCTGACCGGATCTGATCTGATCTGATCTGATCTAATCTATATAATCTGATCTAATCTACTCTGCTCTAATCTAATCTACTCTAATCTGAACTAATCTATATGAACAAATCTAATCTAATCCAACCCTGTCTATCTATCCATCTATCTGTCTACCTATCCAGCAGTGTGTGTGTGTGTATAAGTAGGTAGGTAGGTAGGTAGGTAGGTAGGTAGGTACGTAGGTGGTAGGTAGGTAGGGAGGTAGGTAGGTAGGTAGGGAGGCAGGCAGGCAGGCAGGTAGGTAGGTAGGTACGTAGGTAGTACGTAGGTACGTAGGTACGTAGGTACGTAGGTACGTAGGTACTGCGAAACTTTATAGGCACCTTTCCTCCGCTCTACATGCATGAGACTTTTGCCAAATATTTGGCTCAAGATCTGGCTCAAGATGCTTGGTGTAAAAGAGGAACTTTGTTACTTAGGTTGTGCTTGGAATTAGGTTGCTAGTACTTTGGTACTGTGGGAATTTCGCATGGTAGCGGGAGCTCTCGATCTAGGGAGCAGTCGCACTTTGACCTCAAGACCTTGAGGTGACAACAGAAGAGAGCTTTGACTTTGCTGGTAAACTTAAGTTGCCACTTCCTGACAAGTATGATGGAAACCCAAGCATGTGGGAAGAATGGAGCTGGAACTTTAAGACTTACATCAGCATGTTTGACAGCACAGTGAAGACTTTGATAGATGATGTGGAAGGACGCGATCGACCACTTTTAGATGCAGATCTCACCATCACTTTGGATACAGGTGATGTTGATCCCCAAGCGGCCTTGCAAGCCGTCCACTTTTCTCGAAAGTTACACTATTTTTTGGCAAACTTGACCACTGGTTCAGCTAGGTTGATTGTAAGGCAAAATGAAGGAGCCAATGGGTTTGAGACTTGGCGTAGGATGAACGAAAAAATTGCACTTCCTGATGCAACACGTCATGTGTCACTTCTCACCCAGCTGTTGGACTTTTTAAGTTCAAACCAGCAACTTTTGAAAAAGATTTTAATACGTGGGAGACAGTCAAGTCAAAGTATGAAACTCAGTTTGGAAAGAACCTTCCTGATAGCGTACTTGTTGCCACTTTGCTGAACAAGACCACGGGAGCTTTGCAGCAGCACTTGCGCTTGAATGCACGTACGTTGACCACATACCAACAGATGCGCGCAGTGACCGTCGAGTATTTTCGTTCGCGACACATATTCCATACTTCGTCATCATCACAAGGACCAGCACCAATGGACATTGGTTATGTAGGCAAATGTAAAGGCAAGAAAGGCAAACTTTCAAACAGTTCACGCGCAAAACTTGCCATGCTGAAAGGACTTAGGAAAGGCAAAGGTAAGAATCCCCCACTGGAACTTTCACACCAAGGCGAAAGGTAAGGGTTTTGGAAACACTTTTGGACAAGGAAAAGGCAAAGGAACTTCGGTGCAAGGCACAGAGAAATTAGGTTCAGGTACAAGTTCGAGTACTTCGGTGTCGAACCAAGGTGGAAAAGGTAAACAGACTTCGGTTTGTTGGACTTGTGGAAATCCAGGACACTTTTCTGACAGATGTCCACAGAGAAGAGTGAAAGCACTTGTTGAGGAGCTCTGGAACTCACACTTAGGTACGTGGGATGAAGGTGGCTTTGGTGATTAGTATGCCGGCTCACTTGACGACTTTGTTGATCAACTCTGTGGTGGAGTTCCGACTTCGACTCCACTTGGAAGTCAGACCAGACTTGGACTTCTCAGGTGGAGATCGCTGAACTTCCCAAAGGGAATGAAAGCTCCACTTCGACTCAGGCTGGCACTTCTGGTGCCCAGGTTGGAGCAGTTGCGACTTCTCCACCACCAGGACTTGCACTTCCCAAAGCCAAGGCAAGGACTACCTCGACTTCAGCTTCTGTAGCTTTCGGCACGTGTGGGGGCTGTAGTGCTGAGACACTTTGATTTGGGAGCTTCTTTGCAATCCCCTGACGGCACACTTTCTCCCATTTTGGGTCATGTCATGAGTTTGTCACTTTTAAGACTTTGAGTGACTACGCATTGAAGGCGAACACCGCCTTTCATGATCCTTACATGACTGAACATTTCAGAGAGCGTGCAGAAGGGCACGAATTTGATTTTGGCAAAGGCGGCCACTTGCGGCCGCTCTGGCGGCCACTTGCGGCCACTTGCGGCCACTTGCGGCCACTTGCGGCCACTTGCGGCCACTTGCGGCCACTTGCGGCCACTTGCGGCCACTTGCGGCCACTTGCGGCCACTTGCGGCCACTTGCGGCCACTTGCGGCCACTTGCGGCCACTTGCGGCCACTTGCTCTGGCGGCCACTTGCGGCCACTCGATTGGCTGCAAGTGGCTGCAAGTGGCTGCAAGTGGTTGCCGATGAAAAGAGAATGCGGGCGGACACTGGCGGCCACTGGCGGCCACTCGGTTGGCTGCAAGTGGCTGCAAGTGGCTGCAAGTGGCTGCCGATGAGAAGAGCATGCTGGTGGCCACTGGTGGCCACTGGCGGCCACTTGCGGCCACTCGATTGGCTGCAAGTGGCTGCAAGTGGCTGCCGCTGAGAAGAGAATGCTGGCGGACACTGGCGGCCACTGGCGGCCACTCGATTGGCTGCTTCTTTTAATAAGTCCTTCCTCTTAATTGCCTCTCCTTCATTTTTGTTTGAACTCGTGCGTTTTCGTCGTGGGTCTTTCCCTGTCGTTCCAAGTCTCTTATTTTTTTTTCGTTGCAGCGTTGTCCGCTTCTTTTAATAAGTCCTTCCTCTTAATTTCTACTCCTTCATTTTTGTTTGAACTCGTGCGTTTTCGTTGTGGGTCTCCAAGTCTCTTATTTTTCGTTGCAGCGTTGTCCGCTTCTTTTAATAAGTCCTTCCTCTTAATTTCTACTCCTTCATTTTTGTTTGAACTCGTGCGTTTTCGTTGTGGGTCTTTCCCTGTCGTTCCAAGTCTCTTATTTTTTTCGTTGCAGCGTTGTCCGCTTCTTTTTGCATGTTTATGAAGTGTTTGAAGTCTCTCGGAAGCACGTCAAGTGGCGTGAAGATGTTTGAAGTGTTTTTGGCAATCATGAAATGCTGTCATGCTTGACTGAAAGTTGTTGCAGCGCCTGTTATCGGCAGTGTACAGTCTGATGTTCACGGATGGGCCATTTGGTGTTCCCCCAAATGTTTGGGTTTTGCCTCTCGATGATGACCACAGTTGGCCATGGCGCTTGCATTTTGCATGCACAGAATGCTTTACAGCACGTTGAAGGATCACTGATCCTGTGTTGAAAAGATCGACTGCTGAGGGGGAAAAACACAAACCTTGTTTGGTTGTCTCCGTCTCTTTTTGGCTTAAAATGACCTACTTAGCTGAACTAAACAAACCAGGGTTTGTAGGTCAACAGGGCTATGAACCTGAAAGAATTCGCTTTGGACGTCACGTTTTTGGTGACTTTTGTCCAGAGAATAGTGTTTCAAGGCTGACATTTGGAAAGTACTTTGAATCATCGTCACTGTGTGTCGCAGCGCGCCAAGCACTTCGCATGAATGTGCGAAAACTTTGTTCACGTGATTTGTGACTTTGTTTAGCTTTCTCATGCAGTGCCTAATTCATGTGGACTTAAAGTGAACTTTAGTCCAAGGGGGCGTGCGAAACTTTATAGGCACTTTTTCTCCGCTCTACATGCATGAGACCTTTGCCAAATATCTGGCTCAAGATCTGGCTAAAGATGCCTGGTGTCAAAGAGAAACTTTGAGTCTTACTTAGGCTGGGCTTGGAGTTAGGTTGTTAGTACTTTGGTACTGTTGGAATTTCGCAGGTAGGTAGGTAGGTAGGTAGGTAGATAGGTAGGTATGTATTTATGTATGGGTGTATGTGTGTATGTGTGCGCATACGTGTGTATGTGTGAATTTGCCTGGGTCTCGTTTCCAGCCTTTGATTGTCCAATAGGGGCCAGAGATGCTGCAGCCTTTGAACTGCATAGCATCCGGATCTTTGTGGCTCAAGACGTGTGCTTGATGTTTTGGTGAAGCTATCCTTGAAATTCCAGGTGAAATCATTTGGTGTGAGGTTGAAGGCAATCTCTTGGTGATCCATTTGCGGTTGAACATTTATCCCATCTTGGTTTGGGAGAACCATCTACTTCCTTGAGGACAAGGTCCATCATCAGGTCAGTGCTGCCAGTGTTGGCTTTGGATCGTCGGTCCAGCCACACTGGTAGTGGAGCCTGAGGGCTCGCTGCCGTGCTGCGAAAAGCCTGGTTGGCAAAATGAATAGCAGCAGTGATGACAAGAGCCAGAATCTGTGGCCATTATACTTGTTGCCCAGTTTTGACCCCGCCGTAGACAATGTTTGTGAGTACACCGACAAGGTGAAGTTTCTGCATGCGATCTGTCCTGACAAAGATCGCCCCATGCTTGCTCCACGCTTGGCCATGGTGTGCAAGGTACAGCGTGGGGGCAAGTCAG